CCCCGCCGCTGCTTCTGCCAGCGACCCCTTCTGCCCCCATCCTGGCAGCCCCCTCACCTGCAGGTACCAGTGTTTTACCAGCCGCAGGAGGCTTTTCAGCTTGGTTGGCCGATGTTTCACAAAGTTCCTCTGCAGCTCGCTGAAGGATGGGGAGAAGTTTCCAGGGTAACCGTGGGCCTCAATCAGACTCACATAGACCTCAGGAGGTGGCTGAGAGTTGGAAACAGAAGGCCCTGAGTGGGAGGAGGCAGAGGTAGAGAGTGGGGATTTAGGAAGCCCCAGGTTGATAAGAGGTCTATGGAGCTAGCCTGCTCATGCATTGGGGTGTCTCTCCAGGGAAACCTGAGACCTCACAGTCTAAGGGAATCAAGGTTTGCCTTGCTTGATTGTACTTCTGGAGAACCAAAAGTGGGCTTTCCATTCTTCGGGTCTCAGAAGACTGCGGTCTTCTCTCCACGTCCCAATACCCCAGGTTTCCTTAATGTCTGCTTTGGATTCCTTTCTCGGGGGTTTATTCCAAACTCCTGACCCCAGAAGCAGAGAACCAGTTCCAGATAAGAAAGCTGGGCTCCTCAAGACTGTGCTGCTGAACACTGTGCTTTCGTGGCATGCATCACTAATGCATCTGGGCACTCTCTTTCTTGCTCACGTAGGATCCCACTTCTGACACCTTCTCTACAAAGCAACTCCTGGCAACCACTCTAGTTAACAGGAGCTGGCACAAGAGGAAACATGATCATCTGAGGTTGTAGCTGATACTGTTTACTTCAAACATCGAGGACTCTTTGCCTGAGGACAAACCAGAAGTGCTGGGGAGTTAATGGTCCTGGGAAGCAGCCGTCAGCCAAGGGTGACTGCGAAGTTGGGGAATAAACGCCAACATCCCACTTGGGATTCAGTTGAGGGGTACTGTACATGGTGACTTAGAGTTCTCCAGGAGCACAAAGCCCTGTGGTTCATAATGGTGACCTTACGATGCTTCTTTCCTCCCCTGTCCCTCTCCCGTACTTCCCTATCAGCATCTCCTGGGACTGCTTGTCCTCAAACCCTTGTCTCAGGGTCTGCTTCTGGAAAAGCACAAACACTACACCTGTGATAAATGCTACAGAAGCACCCCAGATTATGCTTCTAACACATTCCCCTCTGTGGGTCTCGTCTCCTCTTGCAATCATATATTTATCCACATGATTATTTAGTAAGCGTTTCCCGAGTTGGGTGACACAGTGGCCCAAGTTGGGCCAGTCCTGGGCCCTGTGGTCGCTGAGCCCCCAGCTCAGAACATGGGTTGAATGGATGAATGCAGGTGTCTGCATGTGGTCATGAACGGGAGGTGAGGGAACTCGGGTCTCCCGGGGAGGGCAAGTGTGTGAATCAGATCGGCTTCCCCTCCCCTTACCCAGGGCCCTGTAGGCAGGCACGACGGTGACAGTGACGAGCTCTGCGGTCTTCCTGGTCTGGATGGTAAAGACGAGGGCGTCGGGGACTCCTTGGACTATTTCCACGTTCTCGAGCCCAAGGGCCAGTAGGTCCCGGCAACACCACAGCTTTTTCCACATCAGACTCAGAACGGCTTGGTGGTACCTGGCCTCCTCCCGGAAGCTGTGGAAACAGCTCAGGAACACCACCAGTTCCACCTCCGAGGTTCTCCTGAGCACCGTGCCGTTCCCAAAGGAGCCTACCTGCGGAACACAGAGCCCCGTCACCCTGAGCCACTGCCCCTGCCAGGCAGTCCCTGAGGCTCCTTATAGGAATTATCCCACGTAATGTCCACCGCAGCCCAGAGGTACGGGTGGGGGTACCACCGTCCCCCTCTTTCCAGGTGAGAAAACTGAACTTTCAAGAGACTAACTCACTCACCCAGGGTCACACAGTGCACAGAAGGGTCTGGGTCTGAACCCAGGCAGCCGGACCCCAGAGCCCACACTTCTTGTTAATGACAACGCGTTGCTTCTGAGACGGGGTATTCTCAACCTGTGGAGTGACGCCTCCTCCAAGAAACCTAGTGGCGCCTTCTGTACAGCGCATTCTGAGCCTTCTGGGTGTCTGAGTAATTTCATGACAGTAAAAAGCGGGGCGCAGGATTGCCTGGTGGATAAGAACCGTAGGGCAGCCTGCGGGATGGGGCAGCCTGACTTTGACCCCGATTCTTGCCCTTGTTTCTCAGCTGTGTGATCATCGTGAACCCTCATTTCTCATCTGTGAAATGAGAAGAGTAATGGCACTTGAGTCACTGGGAGGAGTGGATGATACATAAGGCATGGCAAGGGCTTACCACGTGCCCGGAATGCAGGAGGTCAGCAATATATTTCTCACGCTCTTCTTTGTCTAGTGGACTGAGATCATCCCTCCTCTGCCTGGGATTCTGTTTCCCCATCTGGATGGAAGGGGCCTGAGCTGGACAAGTTGGAAGTGGTCTATTCGATGTTCTGAGAGTCTAGACCTGCTCTCCCGCCCCTCCTGCCTCTGTTATACAAAGCCCCACAACTCTCCGGCCTCAGGTTGGGCGGTAGATTTGCTAGTGATGCCCCAGACCTCAAGTTGGCTGCCGCTTCTGGGGGGTGGAGTCACCAAGGGTTGATTATAATCCAGCTGTCACGGGGTGAACACTCACTAGATCACTGAAGGCCCTTTACACATACAGTATCTTTTAATCCTAACACCCACTGATTGAGGTGGGTACAGGTATGATTGTCCCCAGTGCACAGATAAGAAAACTGAGGCAGTGAGGATTAATCAACTTGCCTTGGACTCCGAGCCGGGAGTCATAGTCAGTCAGATAAAGGGGCAGAAGACAAGGGTGGTTCTTCTCCCTTTCTTTCCTGTGACCCAAGTCTCTGAGGCAGGCCCTGGTTCTGAGGAGAAGACTGCCATCTTTTCTTCCCCGCCCTTTTGCATTCTCTTCCTTCACTGAGACCCAGCATTTCTGCCCCATTTGGCAGGGCTGGGGATGGAACCCTGTGTGTGAATGAAGGGCTCATCCCCCTGAAAGCTATAGGCTTCCTGCCATTTTCAGTGGTAAGACCCAGGCAGAGAAGAAAGAATATTCTAGAATAATCTTCATGACTTGCTTCAGCCCGAATCTGTTTAAACCCAACTCGTTCAAGGACAAGCCCAGTAAATCAGGTTTTTGGGAGTTGGTGGGGGGGTGTGGGAAGATATGAGAGTCTGAATAAAGCAATATTTCTCATTGACCATTGCTTTTGGGCTATCTCTTTTATTTTGTGGTTTCAGAGAGAAGGCAAGGGCTACAGTCTTCAGGCAGAGTTTGAGGCTGGGTGAATACCACTTCCTGTCATCAAAACTCATCCTCTTTGTAGCATCCTATAGTCTCCGGACCTGCCCCATTTCATCTACTCCATTCTCTGGATTGTTAGGGGTGGGGTAGGCTGGGAGGCTCTGCCTGACTCAGAGCAAGAATTTATAACAACGCTTTTGTTTTTGAGCATGTACCAGGTGCTAATTTCTTTTTTTAAGGTTTGTTTATTTTTGAGAGACAGGGCATGAGTGGGGGAGGGGCAGAGAGAGGGGGAGACACAGAATCCGAAGCAGGCTCCAGGCTCTGAGCTGTCAGCACGGAACCCAACGCGGGGCTCGAACCCATGAACCGTAAGATCATGACCTGAGCTGAAGTCGGATGCTTAACCGACTGAGCCACCCAGGCGCCCCCAGGTGCTAATCTTTTAGCTTTTAGCTTTTGCTGGACAAGGAGGAAATGGTGATGAGGAGACAGAAGCTTGAGAGAGAAGAGGAGTTAAGATCACGCAGCTGGTAAAGAAAACATGCCAAGAGTCAAACCCTTGTCTGTGGAAATCATACGGCCTCAGGCTCTAGGCGCTAGGGGTGGGTTTAAGGAAGAGCTAGGGACCTGAGATTTCTAAATCCTTCCCTGAGGTGGCTGCCCCTGGAGACAGAACTAGAGCACTGGGCTGGAAGTCAGGTGCCCTAATTCTAGTCTTGCTTTTGCCACTAGCTCTCTGTGTGAACTTGGGACATCTATCACCCTCTCTGTGCTTCGGTTTCCTTCATTTTTAAACAAAGGTGTGGCTGAGACTGTCTGATTCTCCAGGGCCTTTCTCGCTTTGACCTTCTTGAATTTTGACTCTAGCCAGATCAAGAAGCAGCTGAAGGAAGGGCTTGGGGGGACATCTCAGTGAGGGCAGCCTGGAGCCCCGGCTGTGGAATCAGATAGATCCTGGTTCAAATCCCGGCCCCACCACTAGCTGTGTGACCTTGGGTAAGTCACCTCGCCTCTCTGAGCTTCCGTTAAAGAAAACTTTTTTTTTTTAAGGTTATTTTCTTTCTTTTGAAGGCTTCATTTAATTTTTTTTTTTAATTTACATCCAAATTAGTTAGCATATAGTGCAACAATGATTTCAGGAGTAGATTCCTTAGTGCCCTTTACCCATTTAGCCCATCCCCCCCCCCACAACCCCCCCGTAACCCTCAGTCTGTTCTCCATATTTATGAGTCTTTTCTGTTTTGTCCCCCTCACTGGTTTTACATTACTTTTGTTTCCCTTCCCTTATGTTCATCTAAGAAAACTTTTTTCATCTAAAACTTAAAACGTAGAAGAATAGAGAGAGAACACAACAAGCACTCATAGATCCAGCCAGTGAGATTCAACAGGTTTACACTTCTCGCCACATTTGCATCATCAAAAACACTTTAAAGCAGATTACAGATACTTTTTCCTTGAATACTTTAGGGAGCACATTTCCTCCCATAACCGCCAAACTGTTAACACCTAATAAAGTCAACAATGGCTGCCTTAGATTACCTAATATCCAGGCTGTATTAAAATGTCCTTAATTGTCCCCACACTGTTATTTTCCAGATGGTCTACTTCACACCTGGATCCAATCAGAGACCTCGCATTGCATTTGGTCACTAGGAACCTTAAGGCCTTCATTGTGCTCATCTGGAAAATGGGCAAAGGACAGTGCATACCTCACAGGGTGCATGGATTAGAGACAGGGTATGTTAAAGGTTTGGGCTAGTGAACTACAATCACTAGTTTCCTTATCAGGCTTGTTCGGCTCAAGGCAGACAGTACGTACGTACTACAGGGTGCACGCAGCTAGCTGGGGTGTCCTGACATGTCAGCAGCATGGGCTGAGGATAACGAGGCAAGACGTCCCCAAGCATCCTCTGACACGAGGACCCTCATGCTGCCTTTGCCGGGCCCTGGCCTGTGGATGGGAGGGACCAATCTCACCTTGACCACCTTCAGCACCCGCGCTTCCTGGTCCAGCCCATGCTCCCCCTCAAAGTGCTCTTCCCGCAGGAATTTTTGCACCGTCCGCACGGCCTCCAGGACCTCTTCTTTCCAGTCCCGGCTGGGCTGCAGCCACTGAGTCACGAAGGAGTCCAGCCGGGAGGCAGGGGTGTCATAGAGCTCTGGGGTCAGCGCCATCTCTGAATGAGGAGAGTACCACTGGGGCACAGATTTATAGCCACGCACCTACCCAGCTCCCTGCACACACCCACTTCTTTAAGGGGGCTCCCCCTCGGCTGACTGCCAGCGTCCTGTGGGATAAAGGGACCAGAGAGGAGACGGAACCAGGGGTGTCTGGGCTGACCTGGGTTCCTCTTCTTGGAGACCCCTGGCCGCAGCGAGGACACTGAGGGACAGCGAGCCAAGCTGGGAGATCTGGGGCCACCTTAAAATGCTTGGCTTCCAGTCCACCTTTTTGCTGTTGGTTTCGATTCTCAGCTTTTAGAGTTTCTAGAGTTTCCCTTTCATGACGTTTGGAAACTGAAATTGGCTTGGGTTTGGCCCCAGAGGAGGCAACTCTCCCAGTAGGTCAGAGTGGGATGGCATCCATCGGCCCGGCCACCCCCTCTTGTCACACAAAAATGAGGCTCAGAAAGACAAGGGACTTGCTCACGGTCGGTTGGTGGTCGGTCAGGGTGAGCCAGGGGAACCCCAGAGTCCGGCAGAATAGACTGCCCGCCACACTCTTAACTTCTGTGACCCTCGCATAATTCATCTGTAAAAAATAATGCTAACCCACCCCCTAGGAGGTTGTGCAGATGAAGCACTGAGCATTGAGCACAGAAAGCACCCGGTAAATGCAAATATTATGATTCAGTCACTAAACACCTATTGAATGCCTGCTAGGTGCCAGATGCTGTGTTAAAAAGACAATGAGATGTAGTTCCTGTCCCAGGGGCTCCCAGAGCAGTAGGGGAGCTGGACAAGAGACTCTGAGAGTCCAGTGTGAGCCTTAAAATAGACCGGGGAGGCGGCCAGAAGGGAGAGGGCGTTCCAAGAACAAAGTAAAAGTCCGAATGATCCCGGTGTGTGCCAGGGACTCAGCTGTCAACTATGTGTTGGCACAGAAGGTAAAGGGGGGGGGGGAGAGGAGAGGGATGGGGCTGGACAGTTGGGCAGGAGTCGAATCTTGGCCATTCATTCGTTTATTCAACAAATATTGATTAGCTACTACGTGCCAGGCAGGTGCTGGGGATACAGCAGTGAAGAGACAAAAATCCCTGCCTGCAGAGGGCTTGCATTCTGATGGTGGGGACAGAGAATAAACAGGATAACTATGTCAAATTTTATAGTAAATAAGATGGTGAGAAATGCTAAGGAGAAAAACAGAGCAAAGCAAGAGGTTAAGAGGTACCCGGTGTGTGTGCGTGTATGACTGTTTAGATGTTCAATCTTAAATGACGTGGTTGGAAAGGCCTGAAAAGGAGATATTTGAGCAAAGACACGAAGGAGGCGAAGAGTGAGCCACATATATGCTAGAGGGAAGAGGCTCATTCGTGGCAGAAGGAGCAGCAGGTGCAAAGGTCCTGTGGTATCAATGTGCCTGGTGGGTTTGAGGAATAACAGCATGACTGGAAGGGAATGACCAAAGGGGGAGAGTGGGAGGGGATGAGGTTTAAGTGGCAAAGGGTGGGGAGTAAATGCTATGGGATCTTCAAGACCACTGGGCCTGACTTTTACTCTGAATGAAATGGGGAGCCACTGGAGAGTTTCAAGCAGAGGAGTGACATGGTCTGACTTTTTTTTTTAAAGTTTATTTATTTATTCTGAGAGAGGCAGAGACAGCGCAAATGGGGTTGGGACACAGAGAGAGGGAGAGAGAGAGAATCCCAAGCAGGCTCCATGCTGTGGTCACAGAGTCGGATGCGGGGCTCCAACTCACGAAACCTCGAGATTCTGACCTGAGCTGAAGTCGGACGCTTAACTGTCTGAGCTGCCCAGGCACCCCTCTCCTGTGTTATTTAAATGTGAATCCTAGACATGACATCATTTCCCTGCGTGTATTTTGAATATAAACAAGTCTTGCTAATGGATAGAATATGATGTGAGACAAAGACTGGACTCAAGGACCACTTGGAAGCTTTGGGTTTAACAACTGGAAGGATGGAATTATCCTTAACTGAGTCAGGAAAGACTGGGAAGGGCGTTTTGTGGAATGCCTCTAACCCTCAGTATTCTCACCTGTAAAACGGGAGAGAAGGTGTTAATCCTACTCCTCCATCTAACTTCCGGGGTTGGGGGGCAGGGGATAGGGATCCAATGACATCATGGTGGTAGAGAATCTTGGTGTCAATGCCATGTCGACGCATGGAACTATGAATTTAGTGAAGAACAGAGAAAAAGAATTTTACTGAGCTGCAGAAGCAGATCTTAGTCAAGGCTTTGGGGCACACCTGATCTGCTGTGATCTGCTTAATTTAGACTGATGAAAGGTTGGGGGGGATTTGATTTTTTTTTTTAATGTTTATTTATTTTTGAGACAGAGAGAGACAGAGTGCAAGTGGGGGAGGGGCAGAGAGAGAGGGAGACACAGCATCTGAAACAGGCTCCAGGCTCTGAGCTGTCAGCACAGAGCCCGACGCGGGGCTCGAACCCACGAACTGTGAGATCATGACCTGAGCCGAAGTCGGACGCTCAACCGACTGAGCCACCCAGGCGCCCGATTTTTTTAAAAGGGCAGGTCTAACAGCCCCCCCCCGCAGTGTCTCTCCCTGGGGCTGTGTAAGGACTTTGGATTCTCTCTTGCTATGCGTGGCTCCAGTGCTCCATTGTCTGTGTGGAGGGGTGTCTTTTTACTCACCTGTAGACTTGAGCTGAGGCTGATCTGTTCCGATTGCATTTCTGCTTAGATGTTCACCCTTATTTAACTATACTGGGAACTGGTCCCACCCACCAGGACTCAAAATCTGATAGGCGAAGTAAAGCCAATAGATAGATTCTATGCTGGGTCAGCTGATTCCTTTGGGTGGTTAGGTTTGGACAGATGAGTGAAGCTATTGGGTAGGAGCATGGAATGGTCTACGACTCCAGCACCGGGCTTGTATGGGGGAGAATGGGCAATCTCAAAGAATGAGACGCAGCTGGGGGACGGGTGGGGGAGCATTCCAAACCATGTGGCCTCCAAAACAGAACTGGCTTGAGACCGTCAGGAAGATAATAGGGAAGAATTCAAAGTCATTCTTTGGTTCGTTTGTTTGTTCAGCAAGTACGTGCTGAACATGTACGTCAGGCCAGCAGCATTCTAGACCACGGGGACACAGGAATAAGGCTCTTGTCAAGTCTCTTTAAATCAGGGAGACTTATGATCCCCACATGGGAACACAATGAGGGTCCCAAGTGCTTTCACGGAAGGTCTGACCTGGGTGTAGGGGCAGAAAATGACTTGGAAGGCTTGTTGAGACACAGATGGCTGAGTCCCACCACCAAGAACTGACTTGGGTGAATCCGACATAGTTGTTGAGAAATCTCATTTCTAAGATGTTCCCAGGGGATATGCCAATTCTGCTGGTCTGGGGTCCATACTTGGAGATTGACTTAGAGATGTGCGTGTTGAAAGACGAAAGCATGGGGAAAGGAATAGTTGATTCACAGTCATGGAGGTATGATCCGGCATTCAGTGCTCTGGAGATGCAAGGGTTTGGGCACATCTGGTGTGTTTTGAGAGTGGTGAGGCGAGATTAAGAGGTAAGCAAGGGCTAAATTGTCAAGGACCTTGAATGCCAAGCAAAAGAACTTGAACTTTATTACATAGGTAATAGGGCCATTGGAGGACTTCACGCAGGGGAAGGGTCTATTCATATTTATGCTTCAGAAAATCACAGTGGCCTGGGTAGAAGGGGGTGGGTGGGGGAAGAGGGCCATAGAAGTCTATATCATGTACAACCCGACCGTGGGCACTCCTAGGGGCCTGTGGCTTCTCCTAATGAGCATGATGGTGTCACAGTCTTTGATCTGCAGGTCTGAGAGACTGCAGTGATTCCTCAGTTTCCGATTCTGGAACTTTAGTATCTGATCCTCCACGTAAGGTCCTTCAGCCTCCTCAATCTTCTCTTTCAAGGCATAGATAGAGTCGTCAGGGTGGATGGCATAAGGCTTGCTCTGGCCGCTAGAGTTCTTCACGAAGACCTGGATCTCGGGAGGGAAGGTCTCCAGCACCCGGATGCTAACCTTAGAGAAGATCCCGTAATGGGCTAACGTCCGCTGGCTACTGAGCAGCTGCCGTTCCCCTCCCGGCTCCTGGAAGGAGAGACGCTGTTGTCCTCTGAGGCCAAACGTCCTCCTGATCTCCGTTTTCATCTTCCAGATGGGACTGTAGGGGTCCACCGACAATATCCAGGCCTCCTCTCCTGTCTTTTTCACCATCACCTGGACCTCTCTTGCTGGCTGGAAGGGAAGGAGGAGCAGACAAGGATATGTGATGGTCATGGCTGTTGCCTCCAAATCCTCCTTCTTGTCTACCGATGATATGATGTATCGCCTACCAAGACACTTGGGAGTAGAAAAAGGGACTATCGATGATTATCACAGCCAACGGGTATAAACGGGGACTGTCCCAGGCAAAACAGAACATTCGGTCGCCCTAGGCTGACAGGACCACTGGGTCACCCTCTGTCCTGTGACTCACCCTGATCAGAGTAACAAGTGGCAACCGTTCTCCAAAGAGCCACTCCTCCTGTGTGGCGTTATTCAGAGTCCCCACCTGTCACACGGGGATAACATTTGCGCCTACCCCACAGGTGCATCATAGGGTTGTTCTAGGTTAAATAACCTAACAGATGTCAGGCACTGGGCCATATGTTCAAGGATATTCACTGTGATGGCAAAAGTCTGGGAGCAGCCTAAAGAATCTTTCAGTAGGGGGGGTAGTGGTCATAAAAACTACGGTACTTTCATTCACTGCATCATGCATGACGCAGCTGTTAATCCAGGGTGACCCGATGTTCCTGTTGGTCTAGGGCAGTCCAGGTGTATGTGCCTTGTCCTGGCATAATTAGCCTCACCCCATCTCCTGCTCAAAAATATCCTGGTTTGGACTTTATGTTATATGGTTACGCAGATCTGCCTTTGAGGCCAGCCTCAGAACTTTCCGAGGGATGTGACATGTGGGAGGGGCAACAAGATTTCTCTGGGAGTGGCAG